TACTGATGGGTAGCGTAACGGTGAAAGATGACTACAGAGATATTCATTTCATCATGTTTCTTACCATTATCGTAAAAGATTCCATCAATTAATATTGGTAGTTCTTTAGTTAATTCCACCGCATTAAACAGGCAATCCGTGTATCCTAGATTCATTCTAACAGAATCGTCTCTTCGACATCACGTACAGGATAGCCAACAGCGACTCCGTGCGTTTTCATCGGCGTGCCTTCGTATTCCCGGATTCTTCCGGTATCTGCTTCGGTGTCCATCGTGCGTAGAACAATATCTAATCCGGGGCCGGCTAATAGCCCACCACTCGACTAGATCCTTTCAAATAATAGGCAGCAATCCGGAAAGCTACCCGACTGGATTACGTACTCACTTTTTGACAGAGGCGCCGAATTAGTTAAGATAATGGTTTAGGTTTCTGAGGTTTCTCATAAAATTGATCAATAGTTACGTAAAATGACCAAAGATTACTACGCTTCGCTAGAACTTATCAGAGTTTTGTTAAATCTATACTGATATTTAAACGGCTGAATGGATACGGATGAAAATTGCTACATGGAAATAACATTTAAATGTCTATTTCACGACTCTGCTCTGCTAATTGCTTCTGTTAATTACCTCGACAGGGTTATCACGTAAAAAACTAGGTAATGTCAAAAAACGACAAAACGTAAACTTATTGAGATAGCTGCTAGTATACAGGGTGTTCCTTAATGATATGCGAATATTTAAGGGTGTGAATCAACATGAAAAATTAACGTTACTTTGCTTTATAAACTATGGTCCAAAAATGTTTGCTTACAAAAACTCGGGCTGTTCAAGCTTTAGGAAAAAAATGGAAATTAATTTAATATTTTCAGAACCGCATCAGATATTCCACTGATATTTGTTCCGTAGTGAAAGTTAATAAGGTTGCATATTTTACAATGAAAAAATAATTTTTAGCTCTTGTCCAGAAAGCAGAGTATATGAGGTAGTCTACATCAAGAATGAAACGATAACATTCTCACAAAATTTTATTGACAAGAAATAACAAAAGATATTAATAATATGTTGGGCTACCCGGCAGCCGAATACAATCCTGTATACGTCTAGGCATCGACAAAATGAGATGATCGATGTCTGGTTGTGGCACCTCATTCCAAGCAACTCGAACTTCGTGGATTAGCTGTGAAAGAGTCTGTGGCGAATGGTGGATCCCCATCATATCCCACACATGTTCGATGGGATTTAAATCCGGTGAACGGGGTGGCCACGGCCTGCTTCTTGAATAAAGTCCGTAGTACGACGAGTAATATGGGGACGTACGTTGTCTTGCTGTGGACGGCCCTCTAGATACGTCAGTAAAGTGCTATGTAGGACAACATAACGTGCAGGGGTCACATTGCGTTGAAGCAAGAGAAGGGGTGATCGGCTACCGTAGTCAAGAGCCCCCCAAACCATTACTCCAACAGTCCTGTGTATATGCTTCTCAACAGCAAATTCAATATCACGCCCACGCCGCTCTTGCCCTTCTACGACCATCGTGCATACCTAGACAGAATCGAGATTCGCCGCTGAAGATGAAATTGTACCATTCTTCCTCCCAATGTTGCCGTACTCTGCTACATTTCAAACGTTAACGACAGTGGTCCAATGTCCAAAGGCTCGAATGCGACGATAGAGTGTACGCATAATAACAGCAATCTGACGCGTTCTGAAGTTGTTCCTCTGTCTTCCTCTATCCACACACGACACTCTCGCATTACCGTCATTGCAGGAGAGTTAACACGGTCGCCAATTTCGCGATAGGACAAACCAACATCTCGATAATTCTACCACTATCAAAGTCGCTAACATGGTGATAATTTGGACGCCTTCGAACTCGAGGCATTTGGTTAAGCTTAACGCTGGTAAATGAAAAGGCAATAACTAAAAACATATGTAGCACTCAGCCCTCAGAAACTACTTCCTTCACAAAAACATAAAATTTTAACAAAGGTACCGTAAAACTTTGTGACATCGGGATGACTTTGTGACAAGCCGGTTTTCCCGCCTAAAACTCGAAGTATTTCCGGTAAAGACCTCGAAAGCCCTGCGCGCGCAATGCGTCGCCGCTCCACACACTATGAGGATCAGGCGACCATCAGTCGACGGTCGTTCGGTAGTGTCGGTGTAAAGTCCAGGGATGTTCCGACATGCACAATTGTGCATATTATGCACAATTTTACGGACATATGCACAACATGCACCCTCCACACAAAATATGCACAATCGTCAATAAATAAAGTGCATTTTTTATACAAAACTGGCAATACATTTTCTTAACAGCTTCACGAACTGAGTGAAATGTACTGTTAGACACAAACAAAATTCGAATCCAGTAATTATTTGTTACGCATCCGAGTCCCGATGATTGTTCATAATTGATGGCCCTAGTTAAATTTAATAAATAAATATTTTTTTTATTCCTGGATTGTTTTCTTAAATTCTCATTAAACATTAAAAATAATCCACGTCAATAGTTCCATGAAATTTCAGGTTTTTTTAAATTGGCGGCTGCGCCAGAAAATTAGTATACATATATGAGATATGCACATTTTTAAAGAAATATGCACAATTTCTATTGGCATCTTTGCACAATTCAAAATCTATCGAGAACAACACTGGTAAAGTCAGTGCGGAATAACTTGAAGATACGTTTTGGCGCATTATTAAATTATTTTTAGAATTACATCTGTACAAAGTAATTTGTTTTAGTAAAAGTTATCTTTATATCTGAATCTTGTAATCACATTTGTTGACTATATAATCATCTACTTGAATAATATCAAAGGTGTGTTTTTTCAAAATGGCGCCGCATTAGATACAAAATTAACAAAACATGAGGTGACTTTGTGACACAATTTCACCCCGTATACCTTTTACCCAACCAGCCGGGGTTAAATTGTGACGCTTTTGTTTAAACTTTAGCAATGCCCCGAAAATACGAACAAACTCCAGGGAGTCGTCAATACAAAAATTATACAGAAGAGAGCTTGCAAGACGCCGTAAGACAAATAAGAACTAAAACTTTGACCATACGACAAGGGGCTGGAAGGTATTTTGTAAACTGTAGGGTAGAATATTCATTAATAATGAATAACATTTTTTAGATACGGAGTTCATCGCAATACTTAAATAAACTCCACGCAAAACACACTGGGTAACATGGTGGCCAAACCATCTTAACCAAGGAGGAAGAGGAGTCTTTGATTGCCCATGTAATTGCAGTTTCAAGATATAATTTTCCTGTTACAACTCAGGATATAAAATTTATAGTTCAGTCCTACCTTGATAAGAGGGGAATGACAGTAAAGTGTTTTAAACGAAACTATCCGGGGAATGACTGGGTTGCCTCATTTCTTAATAGAAACAAGGATATGCTTGCAAATAGGGCAGCACGAAACATAAGCGTTGCAAGAGCTGCAGTGAATCGTGACATTCTTAATGGTTTTTTCATCGCCTTGCAAATGAATTGGAAAATGTGCCTCCTGCTAACATCTGGCTCTATGACGAAACAAATCTGGCGGATGACCCTGGAGCTACAAGAGTGATTGTCCGTCGGGCCACAAAATACCCAGAGCAGTTTCGAAACCATGTATGAGTACATCAATTATGATTGCTGGAAACGCAACAGGTTTAATTGCTCCTGTCTACATGGTCTATAAGTCCGAAAAATTGTGGCAAAATTGGATAGAAACTAGACCTGTTAACGCACACTACAACAGAACCAAGGCTGGCTGGTTTGACTACCAATGCTTTGAAGATTTGTTCATAAATTTGATGCTTCCTACATTAAGAAAAACAGGAGGGCAAGAAAATACTGATTGGGGATGACCTCAGCTCACATTTGAATGTAGAAGTTGTTCACCAGTGTAATAGGCATAATATACCATTTATAGCATTGCCTCCAAATGCAACGATACTGCATACGTAATCAGATGTGGAACAGTGCCAAAAGATCAGTTTCCTTTTTTGCTTAAAATTCTTATGAATAAAATGAATCCAGGAGGCTAAGAGGTTCTTCCAAATGGTTTTAGGAAATGTGGGATACATCCATTAAATCGGAAGAAGTTTTAAGCCGCTTACCAGATGAAATTATGAATAAACAAAATGACGAAGTAAAACAAGCTCCAAGTAAATATTTTCTAGAACAACTTCAACGAAAACCAGAAGTCACAATTGCAACACGGCAACATCAAAAACGAAAAGGGGTTAATGTTTTACCTGGGAAAAGCATAACAGTTGCAGATCTTACCTCTGGATCTATAAATAATGATTGCCTTCAACAAGATACAGCAGAATCTTCATTGAACGATCCACAACAACACAATATAAGACCAGTGTCATCAACTTCAAGGCTTCAAAAAATAGCTAGCACTAAAAAACAAGTAAAAAGGCGAAGACGAACATTTGATTCAGACAGTAACGAAGGTTCAACTAGCATTTCTTTTAGAGAAAGTGTCGTTTCATCCAATTCGGACCTTGAAGACTTAGAAGACCTTATATCTAACGAAAAATATATAGAAAGCTTAAAGCAAATAGAAGTAGAAGACGTTCAACTACAATCTAATAATTATGCTATAGTATGTTACCAAGATCAAATGTTTCCGGGAAAAACAGCAAAAGTTGAAAATGATGGGATATTTTTAAGTGCGATGGAAAAATGTGGGGTATACTGGAAATGGCCAGCAAATAAGGACGAAATGTTTTATGAAAAGTCGGACATAAGAAATCCCAAAATAAAACAACCTACTCAAATTTCACGCAGAGAAATATTCCGAGTTCCAGAAATGGATGACCTTAATTAAGTTTTTTTACTGATACTTATACCTATCTATTTGCTCCTATTATTTCTATAATTTCTTTGATTGTAATCTGTAAGAATAAGATTTTTCGTTTAAGTTTTGGAGAGATAAAAATAAGTTAAGTGAAGTTTTTATAACAATACCTATAAATGTTTGTTACCTGCCTATGTTTCTAAAAAATAAAAAAAGTTTTATTTTGTGACACAACCTTTTTGATTTATTGCTGTTCTGGTAGTATAATTATTTCATTTGTTAAATGTTTTAAGTAAAAAAAAACATATGTCCGAAATTGTGCTTGCTTTTAATTTACATGGCTGTCATCCCCTGGACTGGGGTGAAATTGTGTCAAGTATTTTGTTATTTATCTACTGTACCGAACACTATTTATAAACAAATTTATTGTTTTTTGGTAAATAAAGGACGTATGTTTAATATAAATAAACATAAACATTTTACCTTTTAAAAAACTAACAGAACATTTACAAAAAGTGTGAAATGTGGCACAAATTCACCCCGTTTTACGGTAAACAAAAACAATAAACGTTGACATTGTTATCACAGCATGCTTTAACAATATAGTCATTATGTTGCCAAAAAACAAATTGAAGAAATTATTTTTTCTAGGCGTAACACTTCTAATGTCATTGAGTATACTTACTTACCAGTGGAAACATCCACTTAAACTTTTTTTCCGAGAATGACTGGGGAAGTGACTCTTCTAGTGTTGTTCAAAAATACAGTTTCCCAAAAGATAAGACATCCACGCCCAATTTCTCTAATAATCTATACCCGCATTCTAAGAATAAGCCTCCAGGATGAATAAATATTAAACGAAATTAGAGGAATACCCGCCACCACGAAGAGCCGGCATATATGCCACATAACAAGCCCTTCTAGCCCTGAGTCCCAGCTCCTTAACATTACGGGGTTACAAAGTGTCGGACCCCAGCATAGTCCGCCTGTAGTAGGTCATAGCCCCACAGCGACACAGAACATGCGCCGAGGTTTCTTCCAACGCTCACGCATGAGATCCTCAGCCACACTCAACACATCCAGGTGACGTCTCATCATATTATGGTCAGACAGCAGTCCCACCAACAACCTTAGGTTTGCTCTATCCAAAGATAAGCAAAAACGTCCATCCTTAGCACTTCGCCCTAAGGTGAGCTCCCGTGCCTAGCAGAAATATCTAGAAAAGCTTCTTCATTTCAGAGAGTGTTGTCTAGCAGTCCACTTCTCCGTTATCCTCCTGACTCTTCGCGCATGCACCCTTAGGGCAGGCTCAGGGCCAACAAGCTTGCCCGCTGATCCTGGTTTCGTTAAAAACTCATATATTTCCGCCTGGAGAATAGTGCTGTATCCGCCGAGAAGCAGCGAGTGCCCAGTTTTAAGTCCAAAGACACCAACGCCAGGTCTCCCTTCAGTAACCCAGCGGTCTCCCAACTAACAATTATCACTCCTATTAGAGTTGCAAGAATGATTATGCAGTATTTCTTAAACAGCATTGTATACTGTAAGAACATTAGCAACACCCTCTTAGAACAGCTATACAAGCGGAATGGGCACACCTAATAGGACACTTCACTCATTTAAGAGGTTGTATAAGGGCTGCAGGTAACAGTTATAAAACAAAAGTGTAAGCCTCTTGCAGCCGCTATAGGACATTTGCGTCAGTGCAAGATTCAGTTTTTGTCAACTATACAACTATTCTCTTACGTGATTCTACTTTATTGCAACCAAACTATTTCCTATGTATTGTATAGACGAAGTGAAGAATATATAACTAACACATTACAGTCATCTTGTTTACTTACATATCGGCCATTGTGAATTTCATACACAGGTATATGATATAGAAGTTTATCACTTTGGGCTATTGAATTACTTGCGCAGCAAATTTTATTGTGATTACCGTGCAAATTAGTTACCCAATTTCTACGGGCTTTGTATTTGATTCATATTTTGACAATGATCAAAAGTATGTCTAGATTTTTAAGATGGAAAACTGAACTTATCTGCGTTAAATCTTCCACAAATCCTATATTTGGACACAATTGCACTAATGTTTATCACTTTATATCTGTAATTTCGAACTGAAACATACTTATTTAATATTAAATAGAGGAATAAATGTTTGCCCAATATGGCGGGTGGTTGTGTACAATCATGGCATCGTCCATGTTGTCTTTAGGTTATTAGAATATTTTGGTGTTGCCTGCAGGTGTTATACAACAATTTGACAAATGTCTGAAATGAAATACCGACAGAGTCGAATGATTTACCCAGAATTTGTACCAGATCTATATCTTCTGTTTGAACAGTTGATAAAACCTTTTGAACCGATATGCATGCGTTGTTTGTCATCAAACATAGTTTATGGCATTTTAACAAAAATATGCAGAAAGTTAGGTTATGGTGAAGTTGTTTACCAACATATTTAGCATATGTAACAGTTGTATAAGTGCTTCCGTTGGGAGCAATTTGTTGGCTAATGTAGTAAATTGCACAGCAAAGCAACAAGGCTCGGGTTTGTTTTATAAACGTTAGCATGGGTGCCACAACACAACCATTTTGACTAACTTGCAAATATGCCGTATAAAATAGTTGTATAAACGTTTATGCAACAGTTAAAAATTTGCCCTATAAGGTGTTGTATAACTATGCTACAAGAATATTTTAAACACCTCATTTTAGAGCAAATATGTTGCAGAAAGCAAATTTGCATTCCACACAACACTAAGCCAGCATTTTGGTGTTCAGGCAACAACAATAGAGGGCTTTTATGGCTGAACAGTTCTTTTACTAAAAGCTTATGCCACTACTTTGCTAGTTGGGCTGTGTACCAGACATACCCACTTCCTTCGGAGACTTTCCGGATTCCGGAATCGTACTCTACCCTCGTCGGTTACTCCTCATTAAAGTTGCGGTTAAAGCGATATTTGGGCGTGATCAGATCACCCCTGGTCAGAAGGACGGGATACTCCCTTTGCAATTCCCAGAATTTGGATGGGCAGCTTCTCGATCATAGGAAAAAGTAAAAACACTTGGAATATTGGTGTTCCGATGATATAAGAATTTCGGGGCTTCTTAGTGCTTTCTACAGAACTGAGACAGCTTCTTCTTCTGAGTTAAAGATCGTCGAATTTCGATTTGGTCATTGCGTATTGTATTATAAAGTGCCTCTGTATTTAGCAATTTTATCTTTATGTACAAAAAATGGCGTCAGGTAGGTTGACCCTGTACTTCCCACGCCACACCATGAAGGTGTGCAGCAGACACTAGACGATGTGAGAAAAAAGTCAGTCAAACAGGTCCATACAATTGGTCTCTAGGTATTCTTTCTCTGCATCTGGAAACGTCGCGTCTCCCTGAAAGCCCAGGCTATAAAGAAAAAAATAGATATATCGTGTAGAAAAATTAGCAGATATTTGAAAGTTTCAAATAAAATGAAATGACATGAAAAATACATAAAGAGATGCAGCCAGATATGCGTCGTTTTTTATAAACAATGGGAAAAGCCCAAAATTTGGTATTTTGCTTGTAAAAGCGCAAATTCTGTATTTTGTTTGTATAATCTTCAAATTAAATTTTATGAATAATCGGGAAACTTTAGCATGAAAAGACCTTCAATTTTATTTTTTAGGAGTTAAAATCGATAAACAATTAAGCTACATGCTGTTTTTTTTTAGCTCTGTTGAATAAATGTTAATTTAATATTATTATTAACTATTGTAATAACAATAGTTGTAAATAACTAAAAATTTGTAAGAATGGGGGGCATCGGTTTAGTAGTTCATGTAAATTATGTAAAAAGCTAATTGTTCATCCCAGAGACGAATTATTTAAACAACTGTTCCTGACCAAGGTATGGTCCTAGTACATTTTACAAAAGTGAAATGGATTCTTGAAGGTTTCAACTTCAAGAATTTATGCAAAATTGTTGTTAAAAATGATGTTAAAAAATAGTCATTACTTTATTTATAAACATTTATAATAACCCCGTTATTTTTCAACATAATTTATTTCAACAAGTTGATCTGGATAGATGGTTAAAAAATGTATGTCTAAAAAACCTTCTGCGACCAATAGGAATCAAGATACTTTTTTTTAATTCATATCGCCTTTGCTAATAAACATTAAGACTATATCTCATATAACATCAACAAAAAAAAACATAATATCTTGTGCGAAAATTTTCGCCATTATAATAATTTCCCGCCAATAGGCGTGGGAAGTGAAACGATGTAGTAGCGCCACTGTGGCTTCGCCGCAAATTTCCATATAAATCACTCTATGTGATCCTCGGTGGCTTCGATGGCTGGTTAGTCCGCTGCGCTCTGCGCGTCTCGCTGACATTCGAACATCCAAACGACGCTATGTTGGGCGCCCCTACAACTCTTTCAACAATGTCATCCATACAAGATCGTGACGTCACGATGGCTGTGTTCTTATTACCATAGACAGGCTACCGTACAGAATAGTTTTAATATATGGCTAAACCATCATTTAATTTTCATACATAAATTGTCAAAACGCTGATCCCTCACAGAGATGTGCACATTAAACATGCGAGACATAAAGAAGTTTCTCGTATTCAATACCTGAAGTGTATAAGCGATATTGTTTGTCAACATTCCGCAATAAAATTAAACTGTTCATTAATTCATTCACCTAATTGCCATTTCCATATAAGAGCCCCTTCCCACTTCAGTTGGCCCACTTCAAGATTTATACCAAAATATGCCTTTAGAAACTAAACATGATGAAACTATTTACTTCTAAAACAATTTATGTTCTCAAAAACATGTTAGATACACTCTAGTCGTAAAAAATACATATTTGAAATCAATTAGACTATAACTAATAGAACATCTGAATAAATAAACAATGTGCGAATAATTGCGCGAAGTTAACAAAGCAACCATTGAAAGATTACCATTGGGTAACATCACCTTTATTTTTTCTTACGGCTGAAATTCTTTGGGTGACTGTACGAGTAGGATGTTGTCGTAGAATATTTTTCATCTCGTGCCACAAAGTTTCAATAGGTGACAGATCTGGACTGCTAGAAACTCATTTCAAAAGTAGTACATTATTTTCTTCCATCCATGTTATAGCCTTTTTTGAGGTATGACACGCTGCACCATCTTGCTAAAACACAAAATCTTGGCC